CACATTACAATAGTATCAAACGATACCGTAAACAAATCATTCGTCATATATATGATAAGCATTATTATATATAAGTTGGATATGTTGTTTGTATACACTGATAATAAAGAAAAGACATATGTTTATGTTCTTAAAATGTGATATTTTATTTTATTAACCCCATCTGACGCGTGGTGTGGGCGTGGATTGGGTCATCATTTTGATTGGCTTACCACAATATGTGGTGTATAAATTATTATTGGCCTCTTTGTGCGGAGAACGAAGGAAGATTCATGTTTTAGGCTTTTGACTTTTAAAAAGATTTTCATTAAGTTTCTAAAAGTAATCCACCTTTGCTTCTTTTTTTGTATTTTTCAGCAAAACCGCGGCCCCACACAGATACATATAGTCAAGTAAAAATCCCAACGTTAGATATTGTCTCCCTTTTCTAATCTGGATGGCGACTCCTTGATTCCACCAATACTCTTTGGGATTCGTTACTTTTGTCACACGTTGTATATATATTTAAAATGCAAAACTTAGAATTAGCCATTTATTGCGCCCTGTCTCTTTAATTAGGGTTCGTACCTTTGTCTCGCTATCTATATATAAATCCCATCACGTAGTTTAAAAAATAAAAAATGACTTTTTTTTCGTAATTTAAGCTTTTTTTTTTTTTTCGATTTTTCGTTCGGTATTCGAGGTTTCGTCTCGACTAATTCAGATCGATCCGCGTCGTGCATCTGGACATGGTAGGTGAGTCTCTCAACGGAGACTCCTGCATTCACAAGATCTCAAACTCGATATCTTACTTAAACTAAAACAAACTATTTATCACTTGATCCAATCTCTCGTTGGTGTAATTTAAGCTTTTTATTATAGCTTTACTTGTTCATAAATTCTTAATTTGTAAAAAAAGATTTTTTTTTTATAAAGGCTTTCAACATTTTGTTACCTTAGCGATTCTGGTATCTTCTTATATTCTTTCTTTAATAGTCTCATCATTGTAAGCTTTCTCTTTTAAATGTGTGCCATGTCAATTATTAAAACGTTAAAAGTTTTCTATGTATAATACTCTGTTCAAACATCAGACTTGAAACCCACGTATCATAACTATTAACTAATTACCTGACTGTGTCCCCAATAAAAAAAAAAGGCCGTCTAATCACAAGGAGTTTAAAGACAACCATATTGCCTAGGCGGAACACAACTGTTCGCGGGAAATCCTTCCACCGCGCGAACGGTTGGAATGTGATGTCTTTGTCGTTTTTGGCTTTGCATGTTGGTGGGGGGGACAGAAGGGTCCCTTGAAAGTCGAAATCCTTCCACCGCGCGTCGCTACATATCCTACAACCAAACTTTTCAACCTTCTCCAAAAGCCACAAAAATTCTATTCTTTTATTTTCTTAAATAGTATCTTAAAATATTAATTTTAATTTATTAATTAATAATTAA